TCATATAAGAGGTTCTTCTTCTCTTCTTCATGTACCATGTCCTTTCAGAACGTTGGTTACCATCATAGCTATTTTAATTTTATTTACTGCCACCCTAAATAGCATGCTTGTATCTACACCATACCAATCTCGCAAGTTCTTCAACCATGAGGTTCTTCTTCGTCCTGGACTGCGTTTGCCTGCTATTTTTCCTTGCATGATATTTTGTAGCAATCTATATTTGGGACCTCTCATTACATGTCCGAAATATTCCAGCTTTCTCTGCTTGATGCTTTTTATGATCTCAGTAGTCTTGCTGAGACGTTCTAGTAATGTGGAGTTACGAATCTTCTCCACCCAGGAAACTTTTAAAATTCTTCTATAGCACCACATTTCGAAAGCCTCAAGGCGATTTAGATCGATTTTATTCACAGTCCAGGACTCGACAGCATAAAGTAAGACCGAGAACACGTAGCAGCGAAGTAGGCGGATCCTTAATGCCAATTTTAGGTCTCTGTTACATAACACCTTGGACATCCTTCTAAAAGCAGCTCTAGCCTGCTCTATTCTGGATCTAATTTCGCCGTGATTTTCTGCCTTACAATTTAATTGCTGTCCAAGGTAGACGATTTTATCAACTTGCTCAAGTTTGGTATTATTTACATACAGTGTAGGTAAAATTTTAAGGTCGGTATGGTAAAATTTAACAGGATATCTAACGCAGATATAAAATCATATTTTCAACGAATTAGACAAAGATAACAATCATATTTCCCCTTCGTCTCCCCTCCTAAAATTCTTTTAACACTCATTGGCCATTGCCCATTAGTGAGACGATTAGTTCCGATCAGATATTCTCTGGTTCCGATCCTAATATACCTAAAAAACTAGAGGTGGGTCTTCTCGTTTTTTTAATTTTTATCGGAACCGTTTTTCGTAAACTGTAACTAGTTGATTGTTTACCAGTATTCAAATTAGCGAGTACACAAACATATTAGCTATTATCGTTTATGTGTATAAGTATTGAAATAAAAGAACCTAACGAAGGATATATTTATTGTAACCTGAAAAATAAATTAAATAATACAAATGGTACTTAAATAGTTACATTTACATTACACATTATTAAATCGCGAATCGTCTAAATTGACATTTAAAAACATAATTTTTTCCACTTTTCTTGTTAATCGCGTTCTTCTTTTATTTAAAATTATACCAGATGTTAAACATGTGTTCACAAGGAAAAGATTTTGTTACAATACTACAACATTTTATGAATATAGTGGTTAAGTTACGATATACATGGCGATGGTTTTTTCACCACGGTAATGGACAGTTCCAATCTCCGTTCGAAATTGTTTGTGCGTAATATATCATCAGACAATTACATGTCGACTTCTTTTATACCTCTCGATACAGGTGTATGTTTAGATGAGTCATGTCCAATTAATTCATCAAAAATACACCATGGACTTAAGTCATCTTTATCAGTTTCTTTTTCTTGGACTGATTGATTTTCAAGATTAACTAAACTTTTCGTTTCATCCATTTTCCATAGTTAAAGAACCAGCTTTTAAAAAGTTTGCAGGGTGGATTCCTGGATATAAACCGCCAACAAGAAAAACTTTGTCAGGTTCATTACTTCAGGAATGTTATGTCAAAAGTGAGCAAATTATTAGATCGCAAGTTGTTAAAGAAGTAGAAAATATCTGTATTACTACTGACCTCTGGACATCTGGAGTAACTGAGAGTTACTTCGCATTAACAGGACAATATTTAACCGAAAATTTAGTATTCAAAACTTTTTTATTAGGCTGCTGCCATTTTTCTGGAAACCATAATCCAGAAAACAGCGATTACTGAAATTATTAATCAGTCGGGTCTAAAACGAAAAGTAAATTTTGCAGTAACTGATAATTCCTAAAATATGGTCAAAGCTATTAAATATGTTTTGTTTTATGATGATTGTGATTTATGATGATGATTAAATTTATTGGTGGGGGACGCACTTAAATGCTGTCGTGTACAAATAGATAAAATAAAAAGTCCTTTTTTCGACAATTCTGCAAAAAAACACATTTCAAAAAAGTACCTTATCTTCAGAAAGGCTGTTAAAGTATTAATTACAACAGAACACAGTTCCCAAACGGCCAATCCAAGACGTGGAAACTAGGAAGAACTTCACCTATTACATGTTAAAAAGAATGACCGAGTTAGAAGAGGCAACCCGTTCCACATTGGTAATAAATAATACAGACTTAGACTTAAACCTAATCTAAATAAAGAACACTGGATTATTTGTTCTCAACTTTCCCAAATTTTACGGCCGTTTAACGAAATAACAACTACAAAGAGTGACCAAAAATACTTGAATGCTAGTTCAGTGATTGTTATGGTACGCTGCCTGCAAGAATCTTGCAATAAAATTTTAGCAAACGGCATACTTACATCCATAGTATATGACATAGTACAATTACTAATATCGGGTTTAGCAAAAAGATTTAGAGGGATAGAACAGAGTGGCACATGGTCATTATGTACATTTATGGATTCACGATTTAAAGTGCAGAACAAAACAAAAAGTTAAGAAGCTGGTTACTTCTATAATTAACGAACAAGAAGATTATACTATTGAAAATCAACCAGTACAAGAAAAAGAAACCAATAAATATGACTTAAGTCCATGGTGTATTTTTGATCAATTAATTGGAGATGACTCATCTACACGTACACCTGCATGGAGAGTCCATTACAACGGTGGAAAAACCATCGCCATGTATATCCTAACTTAACCACTATATTCATAAAGTATTGTAAATGTGAACACATGTTCAAAATCTGGTTTAATTTTAAATAAAAAAGAATACGGTTAACAAGAAGTAAAGTAGAAAAACTTATGTTTTTATGTCAATTTAGACTATTCGCGATTTAATAATAACGTGTAATGTAAATGTAAGTCCGATTTACTATTTGTATTGTTTAGTTTAGAACAGAATATTTAAAACAGAATATTTAAAAATTGGAGGATATACCACAGATCTGAGGCTTGAAAACGCAGTCATAAAAGGCTGCAACCAGTATAAATATCTAGGAAGCATCATATCAGCAGATGGCAGAGTTAAGATAGATGTACAAAACCGAATAACCCAAGGGAAAAAATGCATCCGAATACTGAATTCATTACTGTGGTCTAATAAAATAAAGATGCATACCAAACTTCGCGTATACAGAGCAATTGTAGAACCAATTACCACATATGGTGCCGAATGTTGGACGATGACAAAGAATGAACGAGATAAAGTAGACGTTGTGGAAATGGATTATCTTAGAAGGTCATGTCGAGTATCGAGAATGGAAAGAATCAGGAATGAGGAAATACGAAACCGTACAGGAATTAGAGATACTCTTTCAGATAGAATACAAGAAAGGCAATTACAATGGTATGGTCACGTGATGAGAATGGAGGAGGAGCGGTGGCCAAAGAAAGCCTTAATGTATGTTCCGCCAGAAAGAAGGAAAAGGGGAAGACCACCAAATTCCTGGAGAAGAGAAATTACAAAAACAATGCAATCTAGAGGCTTAGAAGAGGGAGATTGGGGAGATAGGAAAAGATGGAGGCTGAAATGCGAGAAGCGGCAATCGCCGTAGGACCCCCGTTATATGATGATGATGATTGTTTAGTTTATTTTTCAAGTTATAATAAATATATCATTAGGTAGTTTCTTTCACTTCAAAAGATATACACATAAACGATAATAGCCGTTATGTTTATTTATGTAGGTACTATCTTACTTGAAACTACTTTTAAACAATCATAGTTACTTGTTTATGAAAATTAAAATTTTTAAATGCTTTTTAGCATTCAAAAAAATTTAAATTTTTTTGGTATCCTGAGAAAACTAACAAATATTTTTGAAAAATTTAAATGCAGAATGAAAGATTACATTATTACCGAGGGCCGAAGGTCCCTTAGAATAAACAAAAAGTTTTTTTAATGAGATATTTGAAATTAAAAATCACACTAAATTTTGTTTTTTTTTTTTTTCATCCCTATAACTTATTAAAATAAACATTATAGAAGTTTTCAGGGACTTTCAGCTCTCGGTAATAATGTATTGTTTCATTCTGCGTTTAATTTTTTCAAAAATATTTATTAGTTTTCTCAGGATTCGAAAAAAATGAATGCATTTAAAAAACTTTGGCCCGAAATTTTGCTCCTACGCTGTTAACGATAAACTAGCACGACCCACCTCTACTTCTCGTTACTCGATCTTTTGACCAGACGACAATCTAGACTAGACGTTGCCAAATAAATTAGTGTATGAATATTTTTTAATTTGGCGTTATTGTATGCATGTTTAATTGTTTATTATTTCATATTGGAAAATTATTTTGATATTTAGATTTTTAGTTCGGAAATCGTACTTAAAATACGAAACATTAATAAATTTTATTTATATAAAACGATTTCCGAAATGGAAATCAAAATGTTATATTACAATTATTGTAAAGAAAACTTGTGGCATATTCCCAATAAAAAAAACAGTAACCTGCCATTTAAATCAATTTCGCCCAAATTTGATTGTCTTGAGCATTTTATCTTCTTGATAGAACATTGTTCAAATGCAAAAAAAGACAACAGGTCAAATAAAACCAATAAGTTTGGCAACGTTGAATTTCCCCTTTTTTAATATTTCCATTCGGCGATATAAAGGGCGTACCTAATATACCTCTCTCTTTTTAAACAGCTGTTTCTCACTCCATCTCACGTAAGGTCCATACCGACCATAAAATTTTTCCTACACTGTATATAGACGGTTTCATATAAGAGGTTAGAATACATAAACAACTTGGGGCAGGCCAAAAACTGATAAAATATTGTCGAACCAATGATGATAGTGATAATAAAATAATAGAAAAACGGTATAATAAAACTTGTTTAAAATAATATAAAGTCTTATATATTGATTCAATATGGAATTAATTTATTGATAACAAAATAAATAATGTTCATAACTTACCACTAAAAATAATGTTAGTATCCCAGTAATAAAATCCTGTAATCCACGCTTCAAAATCATGCCCATGCCAACTTTCCTTTAATGCTAAAGTATCATTTAGTAATTCAAGAATGTGAATATTTCCTTTGGAATCACTACAACTGATTTCCAGTTTATCAGTATTTGATATAGCCGTTGACCAATCCAATGAGAGAACTAACGTTTCTGATACATCTGTGTCTACATCACAGGAGGTTATTAGTTCCAGTTGTAATGTTTCGTTATTAAGCTTATAAATATTTACTTTCTTTTCAGCATTAGTAACTCCAAGAACAGAACAATTCCATAATTGCTTATGGCACCATTTCTGATCCAGTATTGCTGGTGTATCGATAGTCTGAAGTAACTTTAATCCATAATCTGAGTCAATCAAGAAAAGTAACAACCTTCCTATTCTCTTTTTGGTAGTGGATTCTAGATTGAAATATAAACAATCAATTAAAATTCAGATTTGAACAACATAGTATTAAAAAATGAAATTTAGATAAACAAATATCAATAAAGCTAAGACAAAAACAATGGTGGTCGACAGATTCCACACTATTCAACTGATTAACATGTTACAGGAATACCAGATAGTGGATAGTTTTGTCTATCTCGGGTCTAGTATGACTAATGATGGTAACTGTGAAGCAGAAGTTAGGAGGCGTATTGGTATGTTAAAAAATGTGATGAGTCGCCTAACTAAAGTTTAGAAAGACAAATATATCTCTCAAAAGATAAGACTGGTGAATGCCGTTGTAAACTCAATATTTCTATACGGGGCAGAGACTTTGACTCTTCGCAGATGCGGGCGCCAAAAAATTGAAGCCTTTGAGATGTGATGCTGGAGAAGAATGCTGTGCATATCTTGGACAGCTCATAGGACACACGTTTCCATTCTAAACCAACTCTAGATTAAAAAAAGCTGTTCACAATATATATTCTGCAATTTTTCGGTCACGTGGTTCGCAGAGGTGACGATAGTTTGGAGAGATTAATTGTTTCTGGAAATTCTCCGCGGAGAAGATCAAGAGGACGATCATTAACTAGATGGTATGATCAAATTAAGAATTCAGCTGGAAACTCATTCTCTCATTCTGCGAAACTCTCAGAATAGCTGAAAATAAGGACCAATGAAGAAAAATTGTTAGGAATATTGGAAGAAATCACTATCCTAAGTAATGGGGAAATGACAAGAGAGAGAGACACAAATATAATTGGTGATAATATAGATCGCATACAGATAATTTCTTTGATTCCCAAAATTATACTATGCTTCGGAGGGCACGTACAGCCGTCGGTCCTGGTTACATAAGTGGTCGTTATATTAGAGGCACTTGCGCAACTGAAAACCAGATCTTGAATCTTTGATTGAATTAATTTTGTCATTTATGTAGATAATATCTCTACCTTTCTGAAAATTGTCAAATTACCAAACCCTATCAGTATCTGTATATTCAAAACTTAAATCGACATTAATATTCATAAGAACCCATTTAATTTGAGGTCAATTGTAATATTTATTTTTCTTTGACGTAAGATGGACAGCTCATATAATTTATATTTTCCCAGTTTTTCAATAACTGAGCAAAGTTGAAATGATTGTGTAATAGTGAAAAATAATAGTTTTAAGTAAGTAGGATCAGTATTATAGAGTATTATAGAGTATATAGAGTATAGGAATTGGGACATGGATGGAGATGCTTGCAGTACAGTTAAAGAGGGATGGATGAAAATTGATGCCAAAATGATCATAAAATGAATCAAAGATTGCATAAATCTCTGCCTGGAAAAGAGAGGTATATTCTTGTAGTAGAATAGAAATCTTCACCAGTACCGTATATTCTTACACCTTACCCTTTTGCAGTTTTAGATTCAACTGTATGCCAGGTATACCCTGAAGCTTTATTTGTGTTTTCTCTGCCTCATCCCTCTCGCGGGCAGATGTCCTCTTAAAAAGGTACTTTAGCTTTGTCTCTAGGTACATACCATATGTTCAGAAGTCATCATCCATAGAGTATTAATAATTTGATTTTGATCTAACCATTATGTTGTTCAGGTTGCAAAGCAAGCAAGTTTTTACACTTTGCTTAATTTGGGGATGCGATTTTTTGCTATACCATTGACCACCATACCATTAATGCATATATTATTGTTGGTTTTACCGCCATGTTATAAAATCAATACATGTTTGATGTTACACCCTAGATTTTTCCAAAAATTCTTCTGGCTACTATTAAGGGAGTCACAGTTCCCTTTGTTACTTGTTCTATCTCCTGATTCCAAGTAAGCTTTACCTCTTGATTTACCTAATCTGATCATCAAGAATTGTTTCTACAGCCTTCATTTAAAACGACAGAATTATCGGCCTCAGGGATTTAGCTTTGTCCTCTCCAGCATTGTTTAAAAAAGAATAGTTTGACAACCGTTACCAGCGAAGTTTTTGACTTTTAATCTGCCGTTAGGTAGCGACCTCTAGTAATAAATTTCAAAAAATATTAACAGACAATTAATTGATTAGAGTAGGAAATTTCACACGTCAAACGAGTGGTAAAGCGCCATCTAGCCTTCAAGCGAAAGTGAAGCCGATTTTAACCGGTTCGCCATTCGTTTGGTGCTCATTTTCGGATTGACACAACTCGTTTTGTTAATTATTTTTGTGCGATTTCTTAGTGAAAAGTAGCAATTTTTTAACTCTTTCTTAAATCGTGATGTATTCGGCTTACGGTTGTAAAAGCAACAACAGAAAGAGTGAAGCGGGAGTTACATTTCACAGGTAAATAAATATTTTTGTTATGAGTGCGTAGATGAAAATACACTAAATACTCCTTTATTCTTACGTATTGCCTTTTAAGTTGTTATTTATTTAAAAAACAACACTTTAATGTACCTAATTACATAACTAAACTCACATTTTAGTTATAAACTTCGAAAATTTTACATGTAAACTTAAATGTAAGCAAAATAAAAGAGCACCATTTTACCAGTGGTGTATGATGAAATGAATTTAAAATGGGATTTATAATATATAATATGGCAACTACGAAAATGAAATTAATTACATTTACTTTTTATATAGGTTTCCAACAGACGAACCAAAAAGAAGTGTTTGGGTTGAAAATATGAAAATTAAAAACTTTATACCCACTAAAAACCATAGGATTTGCTCGAAACATTTTGAAAATAATTTATTTTATGGAACTACGACAGGGAAAGTGAAATTGTTACACCAAGCAGTACCAACTATATTTCTAGAGTTGCAAAAAAAATTTCAGCCAAAAGGAGGACTTCGAAAAGTATTCTAAATCATTTTCATGGTGTTTAAAAAAAAACTTTACATTGACTCCACTACAGATGTGCTTAGAGGTTATTTTTAAATAACCGTGGAAGTTATTTTAGGATAACTGTTATTTTAAATAGTTATCAGTTATTTAAGGTATTCAAGTCAAAGTCTGAGCAAGTTCTTCTTGGAAGTCCCAATATTTATCTAAGCGGTTTAGAGTTTGTCCTTGAATAAGGGTCACAATACAAAATTTGTATATTTTTATACCTTTAGGTAAAATTTTTTATAAAATTTTAGAATTAACTAAAATTGAAACCTTGAACACGTGTTACTTTATTTTTTGTAATATTTTTTAATACGTTCCAATATAAGCCTGGTAGACGGTTATTCAGATAGTTAAAATACAGAAATTACGCATTAAGGTCGATTCAGACACATCAGTCCCGTCACAGTCTCGACGCCGAACCGGTCCTGTTTTGTCACAGAACTATCATCTATAAGACAGCTGGCAAACTGTTCGTCAACTGGTGAATGTGAATGCCGGCGCCATATTTCTATTAAAGAATATTTTGTATGACGGATTGTTCGGTTCGGCGCCAGTACTGTGACGAGACGTGACTGATGTGTCTGAATCGACCTTTCTTCTTCTTCAAGTTCCACTCCTATCGGAGATTGGAAATCATTTTGGCAGTTATAATTTTATTGGTTACTCGTATACGTCATTGGTTACTCGCCTGAATAGTTCAATTGAACTGCATCCAAACCATTCACGGAGATTGCGTAGCCACCACATTCTACCTTTGATTTTACCCTGCTGATCGACCTTTAGAAGCGAGTAATACCGGACCGCAAGATCGTTTAGTGAAGTAGCTGACTTGATATAAAAGATAACTGAATAACTGATAACTTATTTACTGGATAACTATTAGCCACAATAAAAATTATAGATTAAGTACAACTATGTATGTATGTATCTATGTAAATGTCATTGTACAGTGCGCTATTATTAAAAAATATTCATTTGCTTGATTTTTCTTATTTAACATGACTTCATAATTATTTATTATCATGGTATATTTCTAATACATAGTCATGTTTTGAGTAAATGAACTTATTTCTGAAAAAATTTACTCTTTATGTACTTTATTGTTACAGAGCAAGAGACATGCAGAGTTAATTGATGTGGGATCAACGAGTGGGATTGCTATCCCTAATGATGAACTCAGTGCTCAAGTGAAGAGATTAAAACTTGAGTTAGAACTAGCAGAACATAAAAGTGCGATTAAGTCCCAGAAAATCAGAATTATGTCACAAAGATTAAGAAGAATGAAGAAAAAGATATTATCTATAAAACGTCTGATAAAAGAGTAATCAAAAAATTTGTTGTTAGAGGAACATTCAATTTTTATTTTCTTCTGCATTAAGGCAATTTGCGATAACTTTAAAATTTTTTTCTCCAAAGTGGTATAATTATGTGGGGGAAAATTTTCAAACTATTCTGTATTCTGTATTCCACATCCTTCAACAATATCAAAATGGTTCAGAAATATTAACGGGGAACCTGGATTCACACAAGAATCTCTTGAATTAAAAAAAAATATATAATGAGAAGTCACAAAGTCCTCTATTGCTATCTCTGATAAAATGAAAATTTCATGGGTATGTAGATTTTGGAAACGATTTGCAAAATGATAGCAATGACATAGCCAAAGAGGCTTTTGTTTTTATGGCGAATTGTGTTAATGGAAGCTGGAAAATTCCAATTGGGTATTTTTTTTATAAACGGGTTTAAATGGGACACAAAAAGCTAATCTTGTTAATCAATGTCTGCAGTTGATTGAAACAGAAACAGGGGCTCACGTAACATCATTAACATTTGAAGGGGCAACAGCAAATGTTGCAATGACGCATATTCTGGGATGCAGCAGGAAATTGGCCAATATAAAACTCTTTTTCAAACCTGTACACGGATGCCAGATTGTAAAGAAAATATAAGATTTAAATAAAACACTTATTGTTGTGGTTGTGGCTAAATGGTTTTTATAATTTGAGACTTGATAAATCTAAATCGGTCAGTAATCGATGTAAATAATGTAGGTAAATGCTGCCTTTTCTCTAAATTTTTATTAGTTTACCAGATATTTAATTT